AGCCACTAGCTATCGATTAAGACAGTTCGCGAGTAGATTGATGCAGCAGAACGTTAGATCAGCGATTTCCCGTCGCTGCGCAATAGATGTAAACTTGCGCGATGAGGGGCGGGGGTCGATGCTTTTCAAACGCGACGTCGCCCTTTTTCAAACACAACGTTGCCCTTTTTCAAACGCGACGTCGCCATTTTTCAAACGCGACGTCGCCATTTTTCAACCACGACGTCGCCCCTTTTCAAACGCGATGTCACCTTCTTCAAACGCGACGTTGCCCTTTTTTAATCGTGTTCCATAAATGCCATCGCGCGGCGTGCGGCCCATCTAATTTCGACCACTTTTTGCGAGCAGTTTTACGCTCGCTCGCATAATTGCGTCATTTTTCTGATTGTGTTTTTGCTTTTGCGCCATATACTACGGCACGAAGGGTCGTTGTCGTAACAGGTACTACAGATATGTACCCGAGGTCTTTTTAGGTTGTTTAGTATTATGTTTATATTTTTATATGAGGTATGTTTAGGGTTAGGGTTAGGGTTAGAGTTAGGGTTAGGACTAGGGTTATAGGGTTAGGGTTAGTGTTAGGGTTAGGGTACACTTCTGTAGTCCAAGTCTGGTACACTTTGTGTATACATATATGTACCTCGGGTACATATCTGTAGTACCTGTTACGACAACGACCCCTTGAGCTATACTACGCTTACTTGTCCGTTTCGTGCGTGTGTGACGATGTGTGTTGCGGCTCTCTTTCGCGCGCTCTCTCTTTCGCGCTCTCTCACTCTCTCTATTCCTCCCCCTCTCTCTCTCTTTCTCTCGCTCTCTCTCCCTCTCTGTCTCTCTGTCTGTCTGTCTGTCTCTCTCTCTCTCTCTCTCTCTCTCTCTCTGTCTGTCTCTCTCACGTGCGCGCGTGATCTCGTTCTCTCTCTCTCTTTCTTTCTCCCCCTCTCTCTCTCTTGGCATCGTAATGTTAGCATGCTATGATCCGCGATATTATGAATATATGAATATATGAATATTAATGAATATTAGTAATTCCTCGTTATGACACGCTTTGCCACACAATATGACAACACATAATAACACATAGTACCACGCAACATAATAACGCCTAATAACAGAACAAAAGATCGATGCCCTATGGCTTACAGAAGTGCCATCGAGCCACCTGTCCTGAAGGGACCTAACTGGCGCTCATACGTCATGGTCCTCGTCGTCGTCTTCCTGGTGGTCGACTCCATTGGGGGTGGCGGCCGCCCTGGACATGGCGGCGAAGATGGCCGTTACGGCCATCTGGCGGACGTGTTGGGGGTTGAATGTTGTCCGCGCCGGGTCGTCCTCCTCGCCGACGACGAACTCATACATGATGGGGTCGGAGTCTACACCCGTCCCGACGAAGCGTCCGGTGTAATAGCGGTCGGGGGTTGGGGGTGCGGGGCTCCACGGATCGTCGTCGGAGTCCTCCGGGGAGTTGTCGTCGTCCGTGGAGTCTCCGGTGGTGTCCGGCTCCGGGTATGCGTGGGGGTTGTAGACAGCCGTCATGCCGTTCGTGCGTGCCTGCGGCGGGGCGGGGAGCGCGCGTTCTCCCGGCCCTGCGGCGCAAAGTTCGCATCCGCAGGCGGCGCCGGCGGCTGTGGTGCTGGCGCCCACGGCGCAGATGGCGCAGCCACAGCCGGCGCTGGCGCCTGCGGCGTAGACCGCGGCGGCCGTGGTGCAGGCGGGGCACGCGCAGGCCGAGGTGCCGAGGGCGCAGATGGCACAGGCGCAGTCGGCGTAGGCGCAGGCGGTATTGGCGCCCGTCTGCGGCGGAGGTGGCGGCGCTGACGGTTGCTGTCCGTTGGGCTGTTGCCCGTCGTTGTCGTTGTTAACGGAGTCCTGGCAATGTTCAAGTGGCATGATAATACGTGGCACAGTATTATAGCCGGGGCAGTATATAACGTGGCTGCCCGGTCAGTGCCATAGCTCCTGAGAACGTTGTTGACGCGGGGGTTGTCGTGTGATGTCCCGTGATGATTCATTCATGGGCTGTGCCTGTGGCACTGCTTGAGTGATGAGCGTACGCAAGCCGCGTACCTCTCTAAACAAACGCTCCGATGGCGTAGGGTGTTGTATGGTACTGATATCCATAGGCTCCGTCGTGTCATAGGGGTCGGCGAACGCGTCGCTGCGGTTTTGTCGTCTTGCGACTAGAGATGACTCTAGTACATGTTCGTCTGCTGCCAAGTCGATGGCGTCGGTGAGCGTCGCTGGGGTGCGATGAAGCAGCAGTCGCTGTGTATGAACTGATCTGAGTCCATCCAAGAAAATGTCGACGAGGCGGCGTTGCGTGTCTGCCGTCGAAAGTTGCTCGACCGGAAGCGCTCGCAATGCGAGAGTCAATAACCTATCGCCATACGGGCGGATATGTTCGCCACTATTCTGCTGGAAATTCTTAAGCGCGTTCTGCGCGTCGACCTCACGTAGCGGATCACGAAAGCGCTTAGTCAGCTGTTCTGTGATTTGTTCCCAAGTCATCGCGGGCCTCTCAAGAAGGAGGCGGCGAGAAAACTCAGCAGCGTGTCCTCCGAGCGTCGATAAACCAAACACGCGCAACGACGTAGCATCGAGACCCAATTCTAACTGTCTCCAATTCAAAGTACTGAGCCAGTCGTCGAACGTAATCGAAAGTGGTGCGTTGTCGCCGGTGAATCGCGGAACTGAAGTCCGAGCTTCGGCGACACGTAGTCCATGCTGGAATGTAGCAGCTGCTGATTCGACGGTTGGTCGTAACGATTCGCTGAATACGTGGGCCAGGTCGGCGATATCGTATTGTGGCGGAGTCGCCATCGCGAAAAAAAACGGGGTTAAGCTGTCCCCGACAGTTACAAGCGGGGTTAAGGCTGTCCCCGTCAGACACAAGCGGGGTTAAGGCTGTCCCCGTCAGACACACAGATGCACGCGCACACGCGTTACAAAAGCAGGTACTCACACACACACGCACGCGCGCACGCGCGCACACGCGCACACGCGCAGACACGCGTCGCAGGCGTGTATTCACACACGCCGACGCACACGCACGCACGCACGCACGCACGCGTTGTAGGCGTGTACACTCGCACGCTCGCTCGCACGCACGCACGCACGCAGGCGTATGCGCACACACGCACGATCGCACGCACGCACGTTACGCACACACGTACACACGCGTCGCGCTGACGCACACGCGTTGCGCACCCGCACACGCGTTACGCACACGCGTCACGAACGCACACACGCACGCACACGCGTTACGCACACGCCTCACGAACGCACGCACGCACGCACACGCGTTGCGCACACGAACACGCGTTACGCACACGCGTCACGAACGCACGCACGCACGCACACTTCTCTACCATACGTGAGGAAGAAGGGGGTGAATTGTGATGATTCATTGACGGCTGTACGATATGCGAATAAGACCGAGTTGATCTTTGTGTCCCAGTCTGTATGATCCCGATTAATGTAGCACGCGAGCATGTTGGCAAGCTTGCGGTGAAAGCGTTCGCATTGTCCGTTGGACTGAGGGTGATAAGGAGAGACTTTAATGTGGGTGATCCCAAGCAATGTGGTTAATCGTGTGATGAGTTAGTTAATGAATTCGCCTCCGTTATCGGTTAAAATTGATCGAGGGCATGAGTGACGAGGAATGAAATCGTCAACGATGATGCGTGCTACGGTAGTAGCGCTCTTGTCTGGCATCGGGTATGCTTCCGGCCATGAGGTGTAGAGGTCCAAAAATGTGAGCATGTAACGGTTACCTGAATTTGTGCAGGGGTGTGGACCCGTAACATCGATAGCGACCACATCGCCTGAGTGTCTGGGTGTCGGTGCATGATGTAGAGGAGCACGGACTCGTTGTAGTTTTCGACAATTACACTCGACGCATGATTTAATGTAGTGGTAAGCATCGGCGAACATGCGGGGCCAGAAGTATTGCTGTGAGAGTTTGCTATAGACTTTCTTGAAACCCAAGTGGCCACCATACGCATGATCGTGGAACAAGGGAAGCACAGTAAATACGAGAATACGAGGGATTACCAATTGTGGTGTCGCTTCAGCATCCTGCGCATGTGATGGCACATGAAAGAGCAAGTTGTCAACGATGAGATAGCTTTCAACGAGCTTAGCCTGACGTACGGAAGTTTCGTCAGGGTTGGAGAGTGTGCGTATGATGTTTCCAAGAAGCGGATCAGCCAGATGCAATGCAGCGAGCTCGGTGTCAGTAGCGGGGATGGTGATAGGGGGTGTCGGTTTAGGGTCCGTTAGCGCGTCAGGGTGAGGGGGGTCGTGATGTAGCGTAATGGGGCTTACCCGTCGTGTGGGTTGTGAGGCCACACCGGTAGGCGAAGGCGGTACCACTTGGTAAATGGGTCGTGAGGCCATACCGCTGTGCGACGATGAGATGGTGGGCATGATCGATGAGTAATGAGGTGGCGTCGGTGTAGACGGCTCGGGAGGCAAACGAGAAAGCGCATCCGCTTGTACGTTCGACTTGCCTGTGGTGTACTCTAACCGGCATGAAGGAAAGCCGGAGACGTACAGAGCCCACCGCTGGAGTTTGGCATTACGCAGTGCCTTTGCTTCCAATAAATACTTGAGCGGTTTATGATCGCTAAGTATGACAAAATCGGCACCGATGAGGAGGTGCCGGAATTTCTGTAGCGCGTGTACCAGCGCAAAACATTCTCTCTCTATTGTAGGCCAGCGTTGTTCCGTCTCAGTCAGCTGTCGGCTGAGATAAAACACTGGGTGCTCCTGTTCTCGCTCGTCTATCTGCGTGAGAACTGCTCCGACGGCGTAGCCGGATGCGTCGCAATAGAGGCGGAACGGTCGACTTCCATCAGGCAATGCCAAAATGGGAGCCTCTGTGAGACACTTACGAAGAGACTGGAACGCAGTCTGTGCCTCGTCTGACCACACGAAGGGTGTGCTTTTGTGTGTGAGTAGAGTCAATGGATGGGCAATATCGGCATAGCCCTTGATAAACTTACGATAGTAATTAGTGAATCCTAAAAACTGCCGGACTGCTGTGGGTGTGTTTGGGGGGGCCCAATTTTGCACCGCAGAGATCTTCTCTGGGTCGGGTTTGACACAACCTGGGGTTATGACGTGACCCAGGTAATTAATGGATTGGCGTAGAAACGCACATTTACTGGGGCGCATCTTGAGGTTAGCCGCGTCGAATCTGGCAAAAACCTCGGCTAAGTCGGACATGTGAGTTTCAAAGTCCGGTGAATAAATGCAGATGTCGTCGATGTAGGCGAGTGCGCATTTGTGACGAAGTCCTTGCAGGACGTAATCGAGGATACGTTGAAAGTGGGCGGGTGCGTTCTTTGGTCCATATGGAGTTCTTAAATATTCGTAGCTTCCGGAGGGCGTTACAAAACAAGTCTTCGGAACGTCTTTCTCCGCTAAGGGAATTTGATGGTAACCACTCTTAAGGTCGAGGGTCGTGAATACTGTAGCTTTTCCTATTGTTTGTAGTACATCTTCGATGAGAGGTAGAGGGTAGGCGTCTCCTTCGGTGACTGAGTTTAGTCGTCGATAATCGACACACATGCGATACTCACCAGTTTTTTTCTTAACCAAAAGTACGCCGGATGACCAAGGTGACATGGAGGGGCGAATTATCCCATTCTGCATGAGTTTGTCAACCTGTTGCTGAACGATGATTTGTTGCTCTGGAGCCATGCGGTAGGGCCTTGTTTTGAATGGCCGAGAATCCCCGGTGTGGATCTGGAATTCACAGAGGTGCGTGCACCCTAGTTGAGCATCTGTATGTGCAAAGGAGCTTTCATGCTGGCGTAAACATTTTAGAAGCGTTGACCGATGGCGAGAATCCTGAACGTGACCGACGAGTGAGTTATAGTCAAAGGGCGGGGTTGCACCATCATGTGCTGAGACATTGTCCTCGTTAGGCGCGGACGTGATGACTTGTATGTGGGGAGGGGTGGTGGCCTCAACTATTGCGACAACGGCATTACGATGTAGCGTGATAGCTCGATTTGAGCGATTTTCGAGCCAGCAGAGAATTGTGTGTTGGTCTGTGACTTCGACCAAAGACGGCAATAAGATGAGATGGGGGTTACTGCGAAACAATTTAAAGGCTGGAGATCCTTGAACAAAGAGTAGCGTACCCGGGCGGAAATGGCGGGGGACGCGACAGAAACATTGTTGGCCCGAATGAGGGGGCAGCACAGTCGGACGATGAATGAAAGCGAGTTGAGGGGTGGGGAGGAGTCGTCTGCCTCGACGGAGTTTCAAAGTGACTACACTATTACCGAGTGCGAGCACTCCTCTATTGAAGTCGATGTTTACTCGGTGAGCCGATAAAAAGTCAGCTCCGATGATAAACTGTTGTCTTAAATCCTGAACTATGTAGCATCTATGGAGGGCGGTTACCCGTCCCAGTAGAATGCGTAAAGTGGCGGTGCCTACAAGGTGTAGTTTATCGCCTGTGACAGAAAGAAGCATGGCGTCTGATGCGCAGACGGCCTTGAAACTAGCAGCTCTCCGTATATGCTGGGGTAAATGGAGCCACGCAGTAAAATCGATGAGCGTACAATCGCTACCAGTGTCGATGAGGGCTGTGAGTGAAAGTGGGCCGACTTTGATATGGCACGTTGGCGCTGAAGATGTGGCGGTAGTCGGTGGTGCGCACGCAGCAGATTCATGCGTGCCTAAAAGTTGTGAGGGTACGGCGGTGCGATTGCGTCGCGTGGGCGTTGGTGAAAATCCTCTAAGCGGCGGCGAAGAGGGCAGTCGCGCGAGTAGTGGCCTAGTTGGCCGCACGCATAGCAACGAGCGTTGCGTCTGTCTTGAGTAGGCGGCGGTGCTGATGGTTGAAATGGGGTGCGTTGGCGCGAAGCAGGTGGCAGATAAGCCTGATTACGAACAGGTGGGCGCTGGTCGCGTTGTGTGTGGGGGGGGGGGAGTCGCCATTGGCGAGATCTGAGCTGATCGTCGCGGGGTGGGGGTGCCTGAGAACGTTGTTGACGCGGAG